ATTCAAGACCTGAGTAGCCAAGCCAGTGCTAAATTCTGAAGGGCAAAATGAATTACATCATCTGATCTATTATGATCTCCGGCCTCAGATGAATGGTTCCCCACAACAGCCAAAACTACATACACTGATTAATATATTGAACAAAGGGCATGTGGGAAAGAAAAATCTTTACAGCAATCTGTATGAGTGCTCTTTGCATGGCTATATCAAGAAAACTATTTGATCATTGTCTCCAATAGTGGGAAATTAACGTTCACAGTCCCCACAGAAATGGTTATAACAATAAGGACTGACAGTCTGTATATAAGGATAGTGTTGTGTATTATGGAAGCACAAACACCTTGCCTATTGTGGACGCGTTTTGAGGGGATGCAGCCAAACCTAGCTCTTAGTCCATGTGCCTGTTCAACATTCCTATTTGCAAACTAGCTTACACTGAAATTGACGGGCGGTAGGTTCAAGATGCACAAGAGGAAATAGGAGTAGGAGCCGCCACTATGGTACCATCATTACCTGGCCCTGGAGGAAGAACGCCGGCATTGTCCGGAACAGAGGACACTGAGCTAGCAGAGCAGCAGTAAGTTCGTCATCGTTGTGGAATATCTGGAGCACTTTATATTTATATTTGTAATTTTGTAATGTCGTATAATGTTTAAATGCTTTTAAAAATGTTTTTTTTAACCTCAGATTTTATCTGGGGGGGGGAACCTAGAATAAAGATTTACTCTTTACAAGAAAAAACAAAGAAGGGCGGATTGGCGGTACCGAATTGGCGGTTATACTATCAGGCTGCAGCACTGACATGGCTTCGCGAATGGATTTTGCTCAGAGACCAGAGGACTTTAAGCCTAGAAGGCCATAATTTAATGGCCGGGTGGCACTATTTTCTAAGTGAAGGAACAGAAAAACATTCGTACTTCCATCAACACCGAATCAGAGCTTCCCTAATAAAAATATGGAAGGAAATAAAAACTAATTATTACGATAAAATACCGAGATGGGTTGCCCCCCTGGAGGTCATCTCTTTACCAACTTTGATGACGGAAACCCGAGCGCTGAGCTATGAGGTACTATTAAACAAGAATAACGAATTAAAATCACAAGAGACCTTACAATCTCATCAGGTTAAACTAACATGGTGGGAAAGAAACCAATTAACATCTAAATACAGCAAAGATATTCAAACAGGGATAAATAAAAATTTTATAGAATTAGATAAAATTTTATTGGGTCCGGAAGTAAAAATAATAGGTAAAATATATTCTCTCTTACTAGAAAATAGAGTACAAGATAAAAATAAAAAAACACCCTTGACAAAATGGAATAACAATATAGGGAAAACAATTGACCCGCGGAAATGGGAAGGGATATGGAAAAACATGAGACAGTTAAAGGCGGTCTCATTAAAGGAAAACCTGTTTAAGATATGCCATTGATGGTATTTAACCCCCACCAGAGTGGCCAAGATCTATCCAGGAAGTAGCAACAAGTGTTGGAAATGTAAAACACAGATCGGGTCGTTCTTCCATACTTGGTGGTCCTGTGATGCGGTAAAGAAATACTGGAAAGAGGTACATCAGGTGATTACGCAGGCAACAAAATTGCAAATAACATTGGACCCTGAAATATTTTTATTGAATATACTACCAGAGAGTTGGGAAAAGAAAGATAAACATGTTCTTGACGAATTTGTTAGCGGCAGCTAGAATTGCAGTTACTGGAAAAGAAATGAAATCCCGGACAGGCTAGACTTTATAAACAAAGCAATTGAGGTGATAGAAATGGACAATCTAACACAAAAACTCCATGGAAGGAAAAATTCAGTGTTTTCAACTATGTGGTCAAATGTATATAACTGGATTGACAAGAATGTATAAGAGAAACCTGATTGTAAACACAATGGGTTGATATAGAATTCTGTCAGATAGTAAGGATCTTTTTTAATCAAGGGAGGTGGGTAATACTGGGGGCACGGGTGGTGGATGTATCACCAGTTATACTTCAATAAAAATTTATTTTAAAAAAATGTTTTTATGTGTCGGCGTATGCTTGTCTGTGACCCGCCCTGAGCCCGCTCTTGCGGGGAGGGCGGGCTATAAATCGAAATAAATAAAATAAAATAATAAATAAATAATACTGTTTTACACTGAGTGATTAAAATGAGGAATTTGCTGTCAGAGGATGCAGTGATGGCCACAGGAATAAGCAGCCTTAAAAGGGTATTATATAGATTAATGGAGGATAAGCCTATCAATGGCTACTAGGCATGGTCCCTGAGGGGAACCTCCACATTCAGAGGCACTATACCTCTGAATCCCAGAATCAGGATGCAGCATTAGGGGAAGGCCTTGGCCTCTATGCCCTGTTGTTGGCCCTCCAGAAGAACTGGTTGGCCACTGTGTGATACAGGATGCTGGACTAGATGGACCACTGGTCTGATCCAGCAGGGCTCTTCTTATGTTCTTACACAAACACATCAAAACTGGCGCCCGCTCTTGCGGGGAGGGCGGGCTATAAATCGAAATAAATAAAATAAAATAATAAATAAATAATACTGTTTTACACTGAGTGATTAAAATGAGGAATTTGCTGTCAGAGGATGCAGTGATGGCCACAGGAATAAGCAGCCTTAAAAGGGTATTATATAGATTAATGGAGGATAAGCCTATCAATGGCTACTAGGCATGGTCCCTGAGGGGAACCTCCACATTCAGAGGCACTATACCTCTGAATCCCAGAATCAGGATGCAGCATTAGGGGAAGGCCTTGGCCTCTATGCCCTGTTGTTGGCCCTCCAGAAGAACTGGTTGGCCACTGTGTGATACAGGATGCTGGACTAGATGGACCACTGGTCTGATCCAGCAGGGCTCTTCTTATGTTCTTACACAAACACATCAAAACTGGCTATAATGCAAAGCACTGTAGGGTGTGTGTCACTGTTTGATGCTCTCCTTCTTCTGGCGATGGTCCCCCAAAGCCCTGAAAAGACTCCTGAAGATTGGCAGACCCGCTGGAGCAGCACTCCAAGAGGAATGGGAGGCTGCAGCTGGTCAAGGAAACAGGAAAGCCACCAAACTTGCATGCAGGCAAAAACACTGGTACTGAAATGAGTGCTTTTCCAGGACAACCCACTAAGCAATTCTACTCCCAGGGAGAAGGACTGCATCCTCATTCTGCTCGCAGAGACCATATTAAATTCATTCCTGTGGTTTTCTTGAGAACTGTTTTCAGGTAAGCATGAATGGATTTTCAGTGTGCAACTTTTATTAGAAAAGTTTAGTAATATTACATTTAGAAAAGTACAAAGTTGACAGAGAAGGCTAACTGGGCGATATTATGTAGCGGTTGGAGGGTTGGTGTTCTGTGTCCTTCCAACTAAAGAAGAAAGTATTGGGGCTGAGGGGTCAGTGGGATCTCTCCAGGGTGTTTTGGCCACCCAGTCCATCTTTAAGCGGGTCTACTCAGATGTTCTATGGACCGGTTCTATGAAGACCTACAACACCTCATAAATCTAACACCAAAAAATGATGTCCTTATCATCATAGGGGACTGGAATGCTAAAGTAGGAAGTCAAAAGGTAACCGGAATAACAGAAAAGTTTGGCCTTGGAGTTTAAGAAATGCTGGCCTGGATGATTCAGAAGCCGGAATTAAGATTGCTGGGGAAAAGATCAACAACCTCAGATATGCAGACGATACCACTCTAATGGCAGAAAGTGAAGAGGACCTAAAGAGCCTCTTGCTAAAAGTGAAAGAGGAGAGCGCAAAACTTGGCTTGAAACTCAACATCAAAAAAACTAAGATCATGGCATCCGGCCCCATCACTCCTTGGCAAATAGAAGGGGAAGTCATGGAAGTAGTGACAGACTTCACGTTCCTGGGATCCAAGATCACTGCAGACAGTGACTGCAGCCATGAAATTAAAAGATGCCTGCTCCTTGGGAGGAGAGTGATGGCAAATCTAACTAGCATGATAAAAAGTAGAGACATCACCCTGCCAACAAAAGTCCTTATGGTCAAAGCAATGGTATTCCCAGTAGTCATGTATGGCTGTGAGAGCTGGACTATAGGGAAGGCCGAGCACCGAAGAATAGATTCTTTTGAACTATGGTGCTAGAGAAGACTCTTGAGAGTCCCTTGGACTGCAAGGAGATCAAATCAGTCAATCCTAAAAGAAATCAACCCTGACTGTTCCCTGGAAGGCCAGATACTGAAGCTGAAACTCAAATACTTTGGCCACCAAATGAGAAGGGAGCACTCACTGGAGAAGACCCTGATGCTGGGAAAGATAGAAGGTCAAAGAAGAAAGGATGAGATGGTTAGACAGTGTCAGCGATGCAACGAACATGGAATTCAGGAAACTTCAGAGGACGGCAGAAGACAGGAGGGCCTGGCGTGATCTTGTCCATGGGGTCGCGAAGAGTTGGACTCGACTGTGCGACTAAACAACAACTCATATGAAGAACCCAGCCTCATTCTACCTGCGGAGACCAGACTAAACTCATCCCCTTGTTCTTCTAAACCCATTCCTAGTTTTATGGGTGACCATAACTGCTATGCTTAGCTCCTCTGCAGAACGGCTAAGCTGTAAGCAATAAAACCATGCTGGCGGGCTATACTCAGAATTCATGAAGGAGACCAATAAAATGTAGACTCTATAATTAATTCATTTTTGAAGACAGATTTGAACATGCTTGCTGAGAAAACAATAACATTTGAATGTAAGAGACAACACACATGCCAGAAAGGTCAGTGTGAGCAAGCTGTTGTGGGGGCCACCCCCCACCCGTGAATGGCTTGCTGATCAGTTGATAAATCAGTGACACATTTGCCCTTGATGACTATATCCCATACCAGTTGATAAATCAGTGACACATTTGCCCTTGATGACTATGAGGGGATCCAAGCCCACGTGAGTTTGAGCACCCCTAGTAATACCATGCGAAGTGGCCCTACCCAAAATTAGTTTCACAAGCAACACAAGTATCAAAACACTCTTACGCTACGTAGTCTTGCTCATCCTCAGCTTGAAAGTGGTATGTTCTGTTATCTGGAACACAAACACATGATCTTCAAAATACTGAACCAGGCCCATAGCTACAGTGGGGCATTTGGGGGCCCTGCCCCCTTCATTAAAACCCTGGCCCCACAAAAAGCCATGCCAGAAACCTTATTTTTTGAAGGGCTGGTTTTTTAAAAAATATATGTGTGTGTACGCATGTGTGTAGAAAACTTATTTTTGAGGAGAGACCACCATGGCTTGTCCATGGGCTTCTCTCTCTCTCCCACTGTAGAATTTTTTTTGGGGGGGGCACATCACGGGACCTGCGAAAAGATAGCTTAAAAGGCATTCAGATTAATTTAATTAACTGTAACTTAACTTTCCCCCCAAAAATCCTGGCTACGGGCCTGTGCTGAACACATATAAAGGATTTTATATTAAGTTGCTTTAAAGAATTCAAAACTTTGGTTATTAAACATATTTAGTAACTGTGAACATAAGATGAAATGAATCAGCAAAGCCACCAAATATCTATTTTCAGCAGGGAGCATTTTGATCGCATCGAGGATGGATGATACTAAAGTTGCTTATAAAAAATATCTGGCAAGGATGAACACAAAATAAATACGTGATTTAGGCTTATCATCCCAACCCCCTAAAGCAGTGGTTCTCAACCTTCCTAATGCCGCGACCCTTTAATATAGTTCCTCATGTTGTGGTGACCCCCAACCATTAAATTATTTCCGTTGCTACTTCATAACTGTAATTTTGCAGCTGTTATGAATTGTAATGTAAATATCTGATATGCAGGATGTATTTTCATTGTTACAAATTGAACATAATTGAAGCATAGTGATTAATACCAAAAACAATTTGTGTTTTCCGATGGTCTTAGGTGACCCCTGTGAAAGGGTCGTTCGACCCCCAAAGGGGTCGCGACCCACAGGTTGAGAACCGCTGCCCTAAAGCCTCTCAGCAACTTGACTCCCTAGGCTGGTGTGTACCAAAGATATGTCAACATATTTCAATGTAGAATGTGGTGGTATCCAGAGCATGTCAGTGGAGGAGGGGGCTTTCTAACCTTTCTAACCCTGGCTCAGAGTTACAGACCTCCACGGAACACATGGAGAGTGGAAATACAAGCCCCCCCTCCCCATCCTGCAGCTTCCCCAATCCCATACCAAGCTCTAGCACAGCTACGGATACTGACTGAATCTGAAGGCATCCACAGTCCTCCTAAGCACTATATAAGCCCTAGCCAGGACACTTATAATGCTGGTGATAGGGCATGCAGAATGGGGCTCTCTCTCTCTCTGGCCTCCTGTCACACGTACTTGAAACTCACATCGGGAGGGAGACTTTGGTGGTAGGAAGCCCCTAAAAGGAAGTGCTTTGCACAAACAGGTAAGGAGCACAGACATTGCAGAATAGTGCTAAAACTCCTCTGGCTCAGATTTAAGACAGAGAATCTATAGATGGGGGAGGGGCAACTCACTCCTCCTACTGGGAGTACATACAACATACTCAAGAAATCAAGAGAAGTTTTGGGCACCACATTTTAGGAAGGATTTTGACAAGCTCGAGCGTGTCCAGAAGAGGGCAACCAGGATCGTGAGAGGGTTGGAATCCAAGTCTTATGAGGAAAGGCTGAAAGAGTTGGGTATGTTTAGCCTGGGAAAGAGAAGGCTTAGAGGGGACATGATTGCAGTCTTCAAGTATTTGAAGGGCTGTCATGTAGAAGATGGAGCAGATCTATTCTCTCTTGCTCCGGATTGCAAGACTAGATCTAACGGGTGGAAATTACAAGGGAGTCGATGCCAGCTGAATATCAGGAGAAACTTCCGAACTGTAAGAGTGGTTGAGCAGTGGAACAGTCTGCCTTAGGAGGTGGTGGATGCTCCTTCCCTGGACATTTTCAAGTGGAGGCTGGACGACCATTTTTTGGGTATGTTGTAGGGCTATCTTTCAGCTATGCTCCTGCAGAGTGCAGGGGGTTGGACTAGATGACCTGCAAGGTCCCTTCAAACTCTAACATTCTATGATTCTATGCGTGATTTCTGGGGTGGGGTGGACAGACTGCAAAGGTTGGTGAGATGAAAGGGAGAGGGTGGCATTAATCAGCCACCCCTGCTTCGAGTTTAGAAGGGAGATGACACGTGTGGAATTGCCAGCCAAAGTGATGAACATGTAAGAGCTAACCTGCATGTGCAGCCCATCCCAGGTCCTTGTGTTCAATTGTACATGAGACGGTTGCTTAGGCTTCTTAGCCATGTGCAGGGCTTGAACCAGGGACTATGGGTATGCCATTTTTGTGCCTCCCCACTGCAGTACCGGGAGTCCCCCCCATCTTACAGTACATTTATATGGCTGTCACCAACACCTCAGTGTCTGGCAAATGCCCCATCAAACGTGTTTTCCCTCTGCTCCCTCCTTTGCTGTGTTCTGCGTATGGGTGGAGGGTCTTAATGTCAGGGTGTGTGGCCGCATCGGTGTGTCCCGGTTTGCTGTTTCTCCCTGCCTGTTACAGCAGCATCACTGGCATGGTGCTGGAAAGGGCTGTTGAGTTGCAGCTGACTTATGATGAACCTGTAGGGTTTTCAAGGCAAGAGACAAACAGAGGTAGTTTGCTATTGCCTGCCTCTGTGTAGCAACTCTGAACTTCCTTGGTGGTCTCCCATCACAATATTAACCAGGGCTGACCCTGCTTAGCTTCTGAGATCTGGTGAGATCAGGACAGCCTGGGCCATCCAGGCCAGGGCATCAATGGCAAACTGATCCGTGACTGGAGGCTTGCAGCACAGTTGCTGTGGACTCTGGTGCAACCGTATGCTGTTTGCACTTTTGAGAGGGGTCTCTTCTCCCACATCCACCCTATGCTTAGCAAGCACAGGATAGCAGCTACTGGCACAAGCATTCAAGGTCTTAATGCCCACTTTGTAATAACCTTTGAAAGGCCAATCCAATGACTACATTCAATAAAAATGCTAATTAACTTTAAAATATAACATACGTGATATCAGGTCGAATGATTTCTTGTCTTCGGCGTTTGGTTTCACCTGGCAAGTTAGTAGATTCAGTTTGGCAGGCTGCCTGTTTGACTAAAAAAAGGGAAATTAATTTTACTTATAGCACTCTCGATTCTCAGACAATATATCACAGATGTCTTCTTCCTTCCACTATTTATTTGTTTCACTTTTACCCCGCCCTCCCCGCTTTTGTGTTCCCGTTACAGGGAACAATTTATCTACAAGCTGATGTCACCACCACTCCTAACAGTAAAGTGACCAGTTCCTAATAAAAATAATAATAATAATAATAATAATAATAATAATAATAATAGAAGCAGCACAACCAGGTGACCCACAGATAAGGCAGGGGGTTCTACATACCCAGGGTACTCCCCTGGAATCCCAAGAAATGCTAATTTGTAAATTAACCAACAGAGGGAGGAAATTAAAACAAAAATAGGACCTCAGGAGTACCAAGTATGCTCCAGGAAACACAGAACATTGAAAACACTTAAGAATCAGTTAAAGGAAAGGGTGGTGGCTTAGACTTTTGAGAGCTTATAATTTGTAAAAGGGAATATTTTGAGTGTGGAGTATTTCTCCCCTCCAACAATTCTTTACAGACTCCCAAGCTTGTGTGCCCCTTATTATGAAGTAGGACAACTGCCCTTTTGTTTACTAATAATTTTTACTAATAATTTTAAAATGCTTAGAATTACGAGTTTCTTTAAAAGAAAACTTATTTTGATTCAAAGTGCTGGGCAACCTATTGGCTATCATTTGCAGCACTTTAGAAAATACTCCAGTATTTATCTCAGGGAGTTTCTGCCACGAGTACCTAACTGCATGTTGCACAGATGCCTGGAAACAAGCAATGACAGCCCCCCCCCCCCCCCCCCCCCCTAGCTAGTCGATTCCAGTGAAAACAAAAGGAAGCCTAGGCAGAGCTCTCTAACAAGCCCTGCTCTCCTGTCTAAGGCAGGAAACAAACAGAAGGAAGAGGAGGATACCTCCCAGCGTGGAGACAGGAAGATACAAGTTGCCACTGCTTCCTGCTCCAAGGGGAAGAATCACCCATCTGCCACTGATGCCTGTCTTTAAGGAGAAAAGCTGCTTCGGCAAGGCTAGTACAGAGGGTGAGAACAACTGCTACTTCACTCCAAATGGCCCCCCTCACAATCACTTTTCCTTAAATCGGGGGAGGGGAAGATAGCTACCAGTACTCTGACATATGTTAATAGGTAAGACCCTGAATAATTTGGTGGCATTTTCAGAATACCAAGACAATCAGCTAAGAAAGAAAATCACCTAAACATGGCGATTCAGGTGGGTGGCCGTGTTGGACTGGAGCAACAGAACAACATTTCGTGTGCATGTGCACCATCAGTGGGATGAAGTGTGCATGCACAAGAAAGCTTATACCCAGAATTAAACTTTGTTGGTCTTAAAGGTGCCACTGGACTCAAACTTTCTCCTAAACGTGGTCATGGTTGGAGAGACTGACAGTCTGAACACAAGGGGGCAATGTCTACCAAAGGTTCAGAGATCAAGGGTCGCTTGATGAGGCCTGCAATCCTGTTCTCTGACTTTATATTTTCCCGTGAAGAAACTCACTCAACTGACTCTTTACTCTGCCTCTCCCAAACCCTACTGAAAGTCAAGTCCAGGGCCAAATCAGTACAGAACCTCTACAAGTGTAGACGTGTCTAAAATGTTCTCTTTATGAGCCAAAAAAAATGTTTCTGGGTATCACCTAAAAAATGCATGGGGTGAGAAGGGCGGAGTTCTTTAATATAATATTAGGCCATTAAATCCACTAGTTTTCCAGAAATTACATTTACGGACTGGATTTGAATTTGCTTTCCCATAAAATTCAATAATCTTTGAATTCACTGCATAGATTAGTTTGTCCACCCCCAGCTATTTAAAACGGAAATCTGTTCCCCCAAATGTTTACTTGTTGGCAACATACATCTTTACAAATAAAAAGACACTGCCAGTTTCTTCATCTAACACTGTAAAGGGAAGCATTTATTAGTGCCCCATCTAGGACTGAGTTTTGGAAATCTGGCTCCCCTGAGAATCAAGGTCTGACAACATTAGCTTATTCTGTCTCCAGTGATTTCCAGGTTTAGTAAAGACTGTAGTGTCCCTTTAATACAGAGCCATAGCTTTTAACTGACTTAATGGGCGAAAATCCAAAGTAGTACTTCTGCATATGGAAACAGATTATTGCTTGCGGAGTGACGACTTCCCTTGTGCAATCTGTTTATGCAAGCTACTGATGTCAGCAAAAAGAAAAATCAAGCTGCATTCGAAGACCTCCTTCTGTGCATGGATGCACAGCTCCATGCACAAGCTGTATGTCCACTTCAGCTAGCTGAGCATACAACTTGAGCTAGGCCTGGAGCATCTTCATCCATAAAGCGCAAGCAGATTTTTTGTTTTGCTCACAGGTCACCAGACTGCAGCCAATATATGTTCCAATGCTCTTTGGAATGGCTATTAGAAGATAGTCTCTGCAGATATTTGAATCAATTAGACAAGTCTAAAGAAAATAGAAATAACGGATGTGCACTGACGAAGAGCAAGGACACTGGAGTTTCCACACTTAAAACATCACATACAAAACTAACCTGAGGCATTTTTACAAATCTTTTTTTCTCCAATACTTCCGGGGGCTAAAGAAAAGGTCGTGTTAGACTGGGTCAGATTGACTTATGACGTCACAATATTACACTGCATTAAACTGTGCCAAAGAGGAAATCAGAGCAGTGCGGCATAAACAAGTACTTCCAAGTCCATGCTGGCTTCTAATTCACCATTTTGTCTATTAACAGTACAGCAGAGCCAAAGGGGGGGGGGAGTGCTTTTTTGTGAAACGGTTTGCCCCCTGCAAAAAGAACATCCTCATTTGGGTGCTCTTTCACTCTTCTCAGCAGAGGTGAACATTATGAAGAACGCTACCCACATGCTCATGTGAAAAGGGGAACTGCTCATCTGCATTCCACTTCTATGTGAATCACCTCCTCTCTTAACATCAGCAGCCACTTAACAGAGGTGACTGGACAATGGAATCCATCCACCTGCTCTCTTGTTAAGATGGAGCTGCAATTCACATTAAAAGGAAGACCAGCACCGGCCAAAATCTGTGAACTCATGGTTTTAACCTAACCACTCTGCATTTGTGCAGCTTAACAGCTAAGAGAATGAGCCACCAACCAGGAAGCTTCGGGGAAACTCATCACTACAAAATGATAAAACATGCACGATGTCAACCTCCTTGCAGGCTATCAGATTCTTCTAAAAGTAGCTACTACAATATTAAACCCTAAAATCAACAACAGCTGAAACTGCTGCCTTCCTCAGTAGCTCCTATATTCAATTCAAACTCAATTATACGGCACACTTGGGAACCTCCCTGACAGCCATACAGGTACTCCTCTTGACCCATGGGGCTAACGGCAGCTGAGGGAGCAATTTAGATCAAGGAAATGTCATGAGAGAAAAGAGTTAAACACCTGATCTCCCACAACACTGCTTCTGTGATTAAATTAGCAACCCCATGGCATTGCTTTGAAGTAAAATATATATATCATTACAGGCTCCCCGACTTGAATTGTAGTTAAACATTAGAGTGGGGGCTAACCTTTAAAAGTATATTTGCTGCCTTGCACATCTCCAAATGCTGCAAGGGGAAAGGATGGTCTTCATCCTTCCCACCAGTGGCATTTTTGCTGGGAGAAACGGCCATGGGGGGAGCTGTTTGCCCCTTCTCTCTTGCAGTGTTTGGAGCTGGGCGGGGTGACAAAGACATTTTTAAAGGGCAGTCCTCCCTCTAAGTTGGATTGGGCACCCGTGTCCTGGCTCATGGAAAACATAGCTGTATTTCAGCTTTCAGTCCTCTAGACAGCTATTATGATCATCTCTAAAACAAAGATCTAAACCGTATCACGTGTACTTGCTACAGAGGATTAAAATCAGAACATAAATGTTACATTTCAGAAGAACAAATGGATAAGCATTTAGTATTTTCAAAAGAAGAAAACTGGGGAGAGGAAAAAATCCTGCAACTTGTGCAAGTGGCAGAGCAGGCCATACTTGAACAGCTGCAACGCTCTTGTTTTCAGCACAGAAACAACTCTCTGGCAAAACAGTGAAAAATTATACTATGCACAAAAGCAAGTGATGAGTCTTTCCTTTACCTCTGCACTGGGGCCATTAAAAAGAAAGTTCACTCAGGAGCTCTGAACAGAGCGATGACTTCTGTCTGGTGACTACAGAAGCTGTCAGTACAAGCAGCTTCAATGATCTTCTAGTGAAATGTTATCTCATCTATATATCTAATTCCCAACTTGCCCCCTCCGTGCGGATACTTGAATCAGCACGGAGGGGGCAGCTGGGGGGCTGGGGGAGGTTTGTGCACACATGGGCCAGTCCCCACGTGTGCACAAAAATAAAAAAAGTTTAAAAAAAATTTGGGGGGATGTTAAAATCCCCCCGAAAGTGCAAGAGCGTTTCCTGCGCGTGCGCAGGAGACGCTCTGCTAACGCTGACGCCGCCGCAGCAGCCGCCTACGCCGCTGCCTCCTCCTCGGAGCCAGCCGGCGGGCTGGCGGGCGCCGGGGGGGGGG